CCGGGCCGGTCCTAGCGCGGGCGAGACGCGGGGGGGGGGGGGGGGGGGGGCCACGGGCATCTCCCCGCTCCCTGCCCACAGAATCGGGAGATGGAGAGAGGAAAAAAAAACCCAACCAAACCCCCCAAAGAAACAAACCCAAACCCAAGGAGGATGCTCCCCAGAGCCCAGGCCACACCACTACAATCAGGGACCGAGCCACAGACTGACTCCTGCTTCTTGACCAGCCCAGCTCTGCGGGGACAGCCACCGGCTCCGCTGCTCTCTTCTTTTTTGGCACTTGCTCTCCGTTTGGCACCAACACAAAGCACCCTCGTGCCCAACCTGGCAGAAAAGTGGGCCCTATGGCACGGCAGGGACAGGACATGGGTACCCACCGGGGTGCCAAGGGGGTAACATGGCGCTGGCTCAGGCACAGCCCAGGGCTCCAGTGCTGCACAGCCAGAGAGAAACATGTAAACGAGTTCGTTCACGAAGGCAAAGACAGGCAGCACAGAGGGGCTCAGCTGTTCCTGGCGCGCGGGGCCAGCAGGCTTTCCCTCTGCGTGCCGGTCCCAAACGGCATGTAAACATGTCAGCAGGCCCTTCCCTCCCCATCCCTGGGAGAAGGGCAGCAGCAAGCCTGCCTCATCAGGGCTGCGCTGGGGGCAGGCAGACCCCGCCAGACCCACAGCACCCCTGTCACCCAGCCCCTCTGTCCCCTCCATGTCCTCCCCACTGACTCGGGGACATAGCCAAGAGGCCTTGGCCTCCCCGGAGGCCAGCAGCACAAGTCCTCTCCTGTAAACATGTCAGGCTGGGCTGCAGTAAGAAGCTACAGCAGTGTGGTAGTAAGGCAGTAAGGAGCATGCTGTCACGCAGCCCCAAGAGCACCATGGGGGCAGCCGAGCAGAGGCACCGTGCTCGGCAAGTGAAAGGGAGCATGCCGGCCCCCCGAGCCGGCTGCCCCTCGCCCGAGGCTGGGGTAGGCACAGAGGAGTGTCACCTCGCAGCAGGGCCAGTGGGAGCCTGAGGCCAGGCACCTGGCTGAGCAGAGGAACCATCAGGGCGGCCTGAATTTCCAGAGAGGGCAAAGTGCTGTTTATCTCCGTCTCCCAAAATCCAGGCCACTCTGAGCTTGGGTCCTCTGCCAGCCAGAGAGCACAGGGTCCTGTGCGTATGTATGCAGAGCTCGCAGGGAACCAGCTAGATACAACTTTTGTGGGCAACGTTGGACACAGAGACTGGAGCCACATCATGTTCCTGAGGATGCTAATCCTCCACAGGGTGAGTGCCGGCTCTGGGAACAGCCTAGCCTGCTGCTGAGCAGGGCCAGGGTCATCCAGCTCCTTGCCTGGACCCACAAACGAACAGAGGTTTGCTCTATAACACGCAGGTTAAAGAGTACAACATACAGTGGGTAAAAACATGGTGCTCATTTGCTGAGTGGAGGAAACCAGCACTTACAGGAGTGGGACCATCCTGGTACAGGAAGGGACTGAACAGCAAAGCTTGCTTCCTCCCCCAGCGGGTCCCTACTGCCGAATTTGCTGCCCCACTCGCTTGTGCTCTCGCTGGCACACAGTCCTGGCTCATGGACTGGGGGCAACCCCAAGGGGGGTCCCATGGGAGGGCAGAGGGGGGCCTGGCTGCGGGGCCAGCACAGCTGCAGGGGGCTGAGGGACACCAGGCAGGAGGACGGCACCGAGACACGTGTGGAGCTGCATGGTGGGAGGGTGAGAGGGCAGTGGGGCCAGCTGCCCTGCAACGGGGATGGGACAGAGCAGTGCTGGCAAAGCCATGAGGGCTGCCTGGCACTGTCCCTCTGGCCCACTGGGATCACAGTTCCTGCCACCCCCAGGGAAGCTGGCAAAGGGCTGTTGGTGAGACAAATGCTCCAGGTCCTGGGAACAGACCATCCGTAAAAATAACCATAGAAATTTCTCTTCTCTCTGATTACAAAGATACAAAAAGGTAGAAAACCCTCCCCCGCCCCCACGTCCTGGGCTCCATTTCCATCCCCCTGCGCCTGCCCACCCTCCGTGCACACACACGCACACCCTGCATACAAATGGGTTGCAGAGGAAGAGCTCGGCCCCGGGGGGCGGAGAAGCCACCCTCGCCCGAGCAGGCTCCTGCCATACCTGTCACACCGGGCAGGCGACGGGGAGCACAGCGACAGCCGAGAGGCCAGAGGCTCCCTGCGGTGGGTGGTGCGGGCTGCAGGCCCCTCAGCCTGGAGGGCAGGGGAATGCAGGGTCGGTTTTGGGCCTCTGACCACCATCAGTTCTGGCCCCTGCCCCCTGGGGACACCAAACCTCAGCTGGCAGTGCGTGGCTAGGCGAAGGGCCCTGCTTCTTCTGTCTCTCTTGTGGACAGCCTCGGCCCCTCAGGAATGGCCCTCATTTCTTGTTATTCTTCTCGGAGGAAAGAAAAACAGCGTTAAGCTGTGGCATCTCCCCTGGGCTCCAGCTGCCTCCCCCAGCTATGCCAGATGGGTACAGGGCAGAAACCCACTCCTGTGTCAGAGCAGGAACAACTGTGTCCAAGTCCCTGAGTTCAAGGAAGAGGAAAGGAGGGATGGAATGGGATGGGATGGGAGCAGTACCAGCAGGGAGCAGGGCTGGAGGGGAAGAAATGACAGATTGGGACAGGGTCCCGGGGGAGAAATGTGGCTGGGGCAGGTAGAGCTCCTGTAGGACTTGGGCCCCCTCCTCCTCTCCAGCCAGCCTGGCCCTCACACACATCCACTCGGGACTTACAGCCAGCACCGAGCAAGGGGATCAGCCATCAGGTCAACCTGGCTGCACAAAGCATCTTCCCTGAGCCCCCACAGGCCACAAGTGAGGGCCATCATTTCTGGTAGAGTGAGCAGACTCAGATACACAGATGTTTCTGCTCGTGCTGTACTGTAAGTGCCCGGAGCTGTCGCACCCAAGGGTTCTCCCTGCCTGGTCACTATTCAGGACCAGGAGACACCTGCCACTCACCCCAGGGGCTCACCCTTACACAGCTCTCTCCCCCGAAACCAACCCCCCTTCGGGAAGAAGCCAGGCAGGCGGATGATGCACAAGATCAGCTGAACAAAGCCTGGCTGAGGAAGGGACACTTACTCTGAGTCTGGCGACAGCTCCGAAATGCTGTGGGAGGTGGCAGAGCGAGGCGTCAAAGGGCACATTGCGGAGGGCGTCGAGGAGGTCTGCACGGCAGAGGGGGTGGCAGTGGTCTGCGGGCCTGAAGGCGTGCTGGAAGATTGCACCGAGGACAGGACGGAGGAGTTAAAAGAAGCAAGGATGGAAGAAAGGATATCTAACTGTTCAGTGGAAGGATGTCGGCTGGGAACGGCCTCCAGGTTCTCTCTAGAAGGCTGTCTCCTTGACAACGGCTCTAGGCTTTCCCTAGACAGCTGCCTCCTAGAGAGACTCCCCAGGTTGTCCTGCGAGGGATGCCTGCTAGGCACTGTGTCCAGAGGCTCTCTGGAATTAGATCTTCTGGAGAGAAAGTCCAGCTGCTCCCTTGAAGTTTGTCTAGCCGATGCTAGCTGGTCCCTTGAAGGCTGTCTTCTAGAAAGCAAATCCAATTGTTCTCGAGAAGTATCTCGACTTGGCAATGTGTCTATTCGGTCTCTGGACATTTGCCTACTTGGCAATGTATTTAGCCACTCTCTAGAGACCTCTCTTACTGGCCCACAGTCTAGCTGCTCTCTTGACCCAAATCTGCAGGGTAAAGTGTCAAGGTGGTCTCTGGAGTCCTGCCTCCGGGGCAGTGTGTTCCCATGATCTCTCTGACTGCGCCTAGCAGCCAGTAGATCCAAGTTTTCCCTAGACCCGTGTCTGCTTGGGATACTTTCCAGGTGTTCAGTAGACCCATGCCTGCTGGGGATAGTGTCCAGCTCCTCCCTGGACCCATGCCGGCTGGGCATGGCTTCCAAGCACTCTCCTGAGTTGTGTCTGCTCAGCTGCTCCCGGGACATCTGCCTCCTCATCAGCATGTCAAGCTGCTCCCGTGATGAGTACCGGCTGGCTGGCTGCGATAGACTGCCTGCCCCAGAGTAGATCCTGCCGTAGGAGGCGGCAGGGACAGCCCTGTGACCCAGCGTGGAGGTCTTGTACCATGTCAGCTCGTTGGTCATCCTGCCAACGGATGGCAAGCCTTGGAGAGTCGGAGGGTACTGGAGGCGGTTCTTCAAAATCCCTGCACCGGACAGAAAGAGAAGTCAAATCTTTGCACAAAAGTGAAAAGAGCACGAAAGCCGGGGAAGATAAGCCATACCTCCCCAAGGACATGACAAGATGGATCTGACGCTGAGCCTTCAGGGCCACGTCAACCTGAGACAGGCCAGGCCACCCTTGCCTGCTTGCTCCAGGCCGTTACCTTTTCTTTGCCGTTGGGTCTGGGTGAGGGAGTTCTCGTCCCCGCTGGTCAAGGCCAGGTCTGGCTGATTATTGTTGGCCGCATCCTTGTTGATGTCGAATCCCAGCTTCCGCTCGGAGCCCCACTTCTGCAGGGAGCAGGGGTGAACCTCGCACTCACCCAGAGCCGGCCAGTACGACATGAGGTCGTTGCCATCCATGTCTGGTGAAGGACACAGCAAAACAGGCCCCGGGGAAGAGGGAGAGAATCTTCACAGAATATTTCTGTGAGCAGCAATTGAAGCCATCACAAGACACGGCCTGGCCCCCAGGGACCTGAGCTCACCCTTTCCCCTGCCAGAGCCCCCGGGACTTGCCTTTGGGAGTGGTGTTGGCGGGGTTAGTGAGGAGGCGTTCGCTGTGTGCCGCCCGCTTGAACTGACGCTGGAAGCGGCCCCGCAGGCGCACGTTCTCCTCGCTCTCCGAGGACGGGATGGAGAGGCTGCGCTCTTCGTCCAGAGACAGGTCACTGTCCGAGTCCGAGTCCTGGTCTGTAGGGACACAGCGTGTGTCGAGGAGACATTTGGAATGAAAGTGGGTGAGGCTTTTCAGCCCAAATGGGGAAGGACAGACTTGTGCTTGTGAGCATCTACCAGTTAAATGACTGAACCACCAAATACCGGAGGCAGGGAGGGACCCAGAGGTCTCTGCTCTGACCCCTGCTCAGGGCAGGGCCAGCCAGGCTCTGACTGCCTCTGGGAAGGCAGAGCCACCCCAGGGCTGACCACCCTCGTGAAGACAACAGCCTGCCTTACCCCTCACTGCCTGCCCCTCAGCAGCAGCCTGCACCTGCTTCACCTGCCCTTTCACCAGGTGCCCGTGAGAGGAGCCTGGCTCCATCTCGCTGCATCTCCCTGTAAGGCAGTTGCAAATAGCTGTAATATCCCCTTTGCCTCCTCTTCCTCCAGGCTGAGCAAAACCACCTCCCTCAGCCTCTGCTCGCCTGTCCCATGCCCCAGCCCCAGCCACGAGGGTGGCCCTACCAGTTTCACTCCAGTGGGTCAGTGCCTGTGCTGTACTGGGGAGCTCAGTGTCCCCACAAACCCCGCGACAGCCTATGTCCCCCCCCTTGCCTCCTCCATGTCTAGCTCCTTGGAGACTGGCTATGCCCTTTGCTGCCTGTCCAGGAGGAGGCTGTGCTACACAATACAGCTGCTGCCTCTCCTTCATATCCACAGCATTTGGGAGTCACAGCTGAACACGGGGTGGAGGATGTAACCGTACAGCCAGAGCCTGCACCAGGAAGGATTTTCTTAACCCAGGAGTTAATTCAGGATGCACTGGGTTGGCCCCAAACCGGGGCACCGGGCTGAGCCTTACCTCCCCCAGCATCACGATGGAACATGGCCACATCGATGTCTGTGGGGCCGGCGTGAGCCAGCAGGCTGTGATCCAGGGCTGAGCCCTGACGCGCCGTCATGTTGTCTCTGAAAGACAGGAGGCCCAAACGGTCACAGCGGCAGGAGCCCTTGGCTCTGCCCAGGTGCTCCCAGCACCCCGGCACCCCGCGCCGCTCCCTACCTGAGGTAAGCCCGCTGGCTGGAGTGGGTGCGGGCAGAGCGCACGCTGCTCACTGACGAGATGGTGGAGGCCCCCAGGGTGATGCGGATGAGCCCGCTCTCCTCAAAGAGCGCTGTGTTGTTGTAGGCGTTGGGGCCCTGGCAAGGTGGGGAGAGAGGCACATGCCCTGTTAAGAAGGTGCTGCAGCAGCCCCGGGGATGGCCTTTGCACCAGCACCTGCCATCCCCCCAGGGAAGCGGGGACGTCCCCATCAGCTCCTGTCCCAGGCAGGCAGCCTGTCCCCAGGCCCTGGACTGCTCCTGCTCTCACCCACCTGAGTGCTCCTCGTGGCCTCCTCGCTCTGCCCCTTCTTGCCAAGGCAGGCCAGCTTCCAGGCCTCCCGCACCTCCTCGTTCAGCACGCAGAACAGGACCAGCACAGCCAGGCCCTGCGGGGAGAGATGCCGTGAGAGACAGCCCCTTGCTGCTGACTGACCTGCTCGCCTGCAGTACCAGATCCTGGCTGCTCCCTGGCTCCTCCAGAGCCCAGCGTGTCGGCCCTGGTGGCCACCAGGACAGGGACACACCAAAGAGCCCCTCGACACTGATCAGCACTAGCCCCCATGGTGGCCATGGGTGAGGGAGGAAAGGGTGGGGTGTGTCCCTGGCTGGCAGCGGCCAACGAGCAGCTGGCAGGGTCCCCTGCAGCAACACCAGCCATGGTGGTGGCAGGAGGTCTGCGGGGTGCCACACATTTGGGGTGTCCAACACCTCTGTTGCAGGCCACTCTCTTGCTCTGCTCTCTGAGAGCAGGGAGACCCCTTCCCTCCAAACATGGTCCTCGCTGCCCCTTGGATGTCACCTCTGAACCAAGCACCTTGCAGCCACCTCCTGCTCTGTGCCACCGCTCACTGCGGGTACAGCAGCAAGGCCTGGCAGGAGCCACTCGCTGCCACAGCGGTGACAATGGATGGGACAAGTAACCGCTGGGGGCTCAGCGTGGGACACCCACTCTCCACAGACGGCTGTGGGGACCACAGGGACGCTCTCCTGGGCTGACCCGTGCCCTCCCCTGGCAGAGGCCGGGCAGTTACCTGGAGGCTGCAGAGGACAGTGTAGAGGTAGTGGAAAGCCAGGACACTGTTGTTGACAGCCAAGAGGCCAAAGAGCCAGGTAGTGCTAATAACTAGAAGCAGAACAAAGGAGCTCCGTAACGTCATGCTGGAGAGAGAGAGACAGACAGACAGGCACACAGACACACACCGAGAGGTTAGTGCGTGTTGTTAATCTACAGTCTAGTGCTCACAGACAGAGATCCAGAGGGGAAAGCGTGCTCCTGCCCAGCCCTCCCTGCTGCGCCCAGCACTGTGGGCTCATCTCTGCACAGCGGTTCAGCTCCTCCTGACTCCCGGGCCTTCCCTTCTGGATCACACATGGCAAACACAGGGGCCCAAACAACACAGGTCATTTGGAGCCACAGAGAGCTGAGCCAAGCTCCAGGGCTGGCCCAGGAGGGAGCAGGGAAAGGTCTCAGAATGAGCATGTAAGAGAAGAAACAGCAGGTGCTGAGAGTCAACAAGGACAGTGTGTTGAATCCAAGCAGACATAAGAGGTGGCTGTGAGGGCAGGCTGGCGGGACAGTGTGGAGATGGGGATGTAGGAACAAGAGGAAAGGACAAAGTTTAGGAAGGGTTAACATGGCTGACAGGTGTGGGAGAGGAGAGCAGCTGCAAGGCTGACACTGATGCATGAAGGGACACTCTGCGATGGTGGAAGAGGGAAGATGATCACTGAAAATGCTAAAACCCACAAGCCACAGGAGCTCTGCTGGGCGTTTAGCCACTAATACTCACAGGACCGATTTCTTCTTGGTCTCCTTTTGGCCTGGGGAACAGGATGTCTTGGCCACAAGCAGGAACATGACCCCATTCATCTGGAAGCGTTGGCACTGATTAGAAGCTGTGCCAAGGGCCAGCTCTGACCTGACACCCCCAGCGCAGAGTGTGGGCAGACTCCAGGTCTGCCAGGCCCATGCGAACATCCCCTCCTTTCCCCTTCATGCCCGAGCCATGGCCTCCCCCAAGTTTGGCTGGAGCAAGGAGGGACAGAGAGAGGGCCTCTAACTGAGGAAGGAGAATACAGAGAAGGGGGCAGGCAGTGGGCAGCCGAGGAAGGGGCAAGTGCCCATGGTGTGGAGAAGGGAGGCAGGAGAGGGCTGTGGGTGAAACAGGACAGGGTTTTACCACAATGACGACAGTAATGGGGCCTGCAAAGCTCCAGACCAGCTTATCATGAATGGAAATCCAGCAGAAGTCAGGGTTCCCGTAGCCCTCAGGATCCAGGCCAACAGCCAGCCCTGCGGGAGGAAGGGAGAGGTCAGGTCCAAACTCAGCAGCCTTGGACTTGCCCGAGCCATGTCGATCCCATCCCAGCACTGAAGGCTGTGAAGGGGGTGTCTCGCTGCTCCTTGCCCTGTGCACAGGCTTCCCTGACACAGGGGAAAGAACCAGGACTGCGAGCCCCAGCATCAGGGCCTTTATTTCCTTTTCTCCAGGCGTCCCTGCCACAGCCCAGCAGACATTCACTGCCAGCAACAGATCACCCAAGCACGCAGGCTTGGGAAACCGGGAGACCTTAACTACAAGCCCTGGGACAGCAGAAGCCCCATGCCCATTGAACAAGCCATGAGGAGATGCGCTGAGGAATTATTTCTCCCCAGGAGGCAAGACGACAGCCCTTGATAAGTGGTCCCCAGCTGACCACCACAGCACTGCTCGCTGCCAGCACTGCTGGCCATGGCAAGTCCACCCTCAGCAATCCCCACCGGGTAAGTGAGCCAGGCAACAGCAGGGGATCAGGAGGCTGCTGAGAATCAGCGCTTTTGGCATGGCTGTAGGACAAGCAGCTCTTACCGGTGATGATGGCAGGCACTCCCCAGCCGATGGCATAGTAGAAACGCATGGCCCCGAAGTTGACATTGCGGGCTTCGGTCTGCATGCGGTAGATGTGGAGGCCCTGGACAAAGAGCCAGGCGAAGGTGGAGAGGAAGAAGCAGTGGAGGAGGATGGCAATCACAGTGCAAAGAAACTGAGGAGACAAAAGCCACTCAGAGATAGTCCCACTGTGCCAACACTAACTGCACCATCCATGCCTCGCCCCCACCCCCATGGGCATGCTTGTTCAAGCCCACAGACCTGGTTCTCGGTGCGGTTGATGCCCAGGAGAAAGAGCAGCTCAGAGAAGAAGAGGGTGACTGTTATGTTGGAGTGGATGCTACGTGTGTTGGACTTGAGGCCTTTGAGGCAGGTCAGGAAGGAGAAGGTCAGCAGCAGAGCCACCAAGGAGAGAGACACCAAGGAATAGGTGACGATTGCCAGTGTCTCCAGGTCACCTTCCAGTTGCTGTAGCAGCAGAGAACCAAAGGCAAATGGTGGTGTTAGGGAAAGACGTGGGAAGCCTGCTGAGCCCTCAAACTCTACTTTTGTCCCACAGGGAATTTTCTGCCTGTGCCTGCTTATTCTGGGACCTAGTGGCTAACAGCCCCTACCACCACCCACAGCCCTGCAGGCTGAGGTTACCTCTCGGTGCGAGCTGTCCATCAGAACCCCAAAGGTGCCAAACTGGGAGCACTGGCAGTGGACGTGTGTGGTGTTTCGGTACACAAGTTCGCAGTCCCTGGCTGTCCAGAAGCCAGAGGGATTGGTCCTGCAGTCACCAAAAAGCAGAGCACACTTAGGAGAGAAGACAGATGAGTGTGGTATGTGGGGAAGGAACTGCAGAGAAGAGGGGTGATTGGCAAGGCTTTTCTACCAGCAGATACAACTGCACTCCTACAGCTGAAGTACTGGAGCCAGAGCCCTGCAGGGACCCTGCTGTGCCCTTCCAGCAGGAACAAACCCCCTGGGAGAGGGCGGAAACCCCCACTTCCCAGTGCTACCCAGGCAAACAGCCTGTCATGGCCAGGGAGACTCGGGGAACGAGGAGGTGCCTGGGGAAAGCAGCTCAAAGCGAGTGGCCCAGCTGTGCTTGACTCACGGGTTGGAGTGGTTCCACTGGACGCAGAGAGGTTTGCTCCTGTTGGCCGTCTCCAGCAGGCGAAACTCCAGCACAAGAGGGGTGTCCAGGGGCCCCCGCAGGAAGGTGTGATTGCTGAACACAGACACACTCACGATGGGGGAGTTCATCACGGGATTCTTGGGGAGCCTGCAAGGAGCAGCAGAGCTCTATCATCACCATGACTGGCAGCTGCAGCCCTCTGGGGACTTCCCAGACATCCTCCACGGACGTCTCAGAAGGAACAGCTCTGCCAAGCCCGCACCATGGGTCAGGAAACATGGGGCAGAGCAATGCCAGGGTGGGGAACAGGCTGAGTACCGCAGGACTGTCTGGCTGGGAACCAAACCCAAGCCATTGCAGACAGACTCAGCAGCTGCCGGAGGGGGCAGAGCAGAGTCCAGCCAGCCTCTCTCCACTGGTGCTTGTGGAGGACAAAGGGGAGGAGGACGTACCTGATGCTGCGGCGATCCACCTGATAGCGCGCAGGCAGCAGCCCCCCCAGGGTGCGGTACATGATGAGGATGATCACAGTGAAAGCAGGCTCAGGCTCTGGCAGCGCCTGCCTCGGGGAGGAGTTCTCCACAGTGTAGTTCCCTTCGCCCCCAGCCAGTGTGGGCACCGCCGTGGGGGCAGCTGAGGCACACAAGGGGATGGTGAGAACACACACACACTGCTCTGAAGGCAGCTTGTGACCCCACCAGGAGCCTTGGGATGTGGTGAAGTCAGAAACTCTGAGCTCTCAAGGGTGACTTGTGGACCTCTGACAGAGCCAGGTCTCACAGCAGGGACACATCTTCCCTTCCACGCCCACCCACGCTGTTTCCCGAGTGATGCTCACATGCTCACCTTCAACTTTTGGGGGGCTCAGCACCGACAGTGGCAGCACAACATGGGTGTGGGGGTCCCAGGCAGGCTGGCCCCGGAAGAGGCTGCTGTGGTAGCGAGGGTAGCGTCGGCGGATATGGGAGTGGTTCTCCATGCGATCAATGCTCAGCACTGCAAAGGAGCAAGGGAGTGAAAGTCAGCTCTAAGATGGCCAACTGGAGAGCAACCATGCTCCAGGGCACCCCAGGTTTGAAGTCACTGGCAAAGGGACCGTACGAGCTACAGGCTGGGTTGTGGCATGTGTGTCCCATGTTCGGGCATGACGTGAGATCCCAGCACCCACAGTGCTCCTTCCCAGCCCAGATCCTTGCTCTGCTGTAGGGCAGGCTACTTCTGCCACTCAGGCCAGCAGCTTTTTTAATAGACACTGGGAGGTAACTGGGAGCGGGCAGCACACTCCTGGCTCTGCTGCCTCTCAGTGGTGTGTTATCTACTCCAGGCAGGGATGGGACCAGGATGTCTCTCACAAACACCTCCCCATGTTTGAGAGAGCCACCAAGGAGGTTATCAGCATCCTCACTGAGGTGAAGTGAGATGAGAAAGGGACAGGGTGTGATGGAGGAGTGGCTCTGCACCACTGCAGCCAGGCCCCACCACCAGCCAGCTCCTACTCACTGATGTTGGGGGTGACGACGCCAACGGGGTTGAGGTAGGTGAGTTTCATGTTGCTGGCCAGCGTGCCCGAGTAGTCCCGCAGCTGCTCCATGAGGCTGGCGCTGCCGTGCTCACTGTGTGGCAGCATGGCCCAGTGCTCCCGGTTCTCAGGTGCCAGCACAGAGCTGCCTGCGCGCAGCAGGTTCTGCATGGGAGAGACATGGGGGCAGGGGGTGAGGAAAGCACTGCCTTTGGGCCCCGTCCTGACCATCCCCAGGCTGCAGCACTGTGCTCTCTGCCCAGTTGCTGCACAAGGGCTGGGGGAAGAGGGGTACTTTCTGCTACGACAGGGCCCCACACTCAATGCTCATCAGCCAGTGTCCTGCAGAGACATCTTCCCTGCACCCTTGCCATGAGGGACTTGCAGGCAGCAATAAGACCTCCCTTTGCCTTCCCTTCCCCAGGCTGAGCAAACCCAGCTCTCCGCCTCTTCTCATCCACCCTGAGCTCCAGCCCTGACCACGCAGGTGGCCTTCACGGGTCTCGCTCCTGCGGGTCAATGTCTGTGTGGCACTGGGGAGCCCAGTGCTCCTGACACGGTCTCACGACATCCTTGATCCCCTCAGAGACCCAGGCTCAGGGTGGCTGATAAAGAGAAGCAGCATCAGAAGCCACCCTGATCTGGGGGAAGGGCTCACCTCATTGAAGTGGGCATCCTGTGTGGCTGTCAGGCCAAAGCCACGCTGCCGGCTCTCAAAGGCCATGAGGCGGGATAGCAGGCGGAAAGTGATGTGCACATCGTTGCCAAAGTAGTGGTCCATGTGGTCTGTCACGGCCCGGAGCCGGTGGGCCAGCTTCTTGGCTTCAATTGTGTTGAGCTCAGTCTCGTTCCTCTCCAAGCCCTCCAGCTGCCAGTGGGGAGAAAGGAGGGGATTAAACAATTAAGCGGTTCCTCCCTGGGAAACTGGGATGCTGCAGGCGCCGCTGGGCCCAGAGATGATTTTTGAAACCATGGCACAAGCCAGGGACACTCACAGTGGTGGTCACTAGAACAAGGAGCAACACTGGCAGACAAACAGCCTCCAGCAACACATCAGGGGTTGCACTGGGCCAGGCCCAGCTAACCCAGTAACATACATGACAGAGGCCAAGATGAAAGGATCTCATCTAGCAATACTTCCCTGGAAACTCTCCTGGCTTCAGTTACAGTTCAGCCTTGGTGGGATGCAAGTGTTTAATAAGCTTGCCTGGATACTTCAAAGGTAATTGTCACTGAAGGGTTTGGGGGCTACAGATGTCCCATGGGGCAGACATTCCGCCAGCTTCAAACAATTCAGCCCTGCTCAGGGTTATTTGTTTTCCTCTCAAATACTGGGGCAGGCCACAGTTCATTTCTGACGGGGACACTCAAGAGATGAGACAAACCAAAGTGAACTTCAGCTCAGACCAATGCTCCCACAGGATGGGTTTGGGGGCAGGAGATGGGAAGAGAAATGTGCTGAGCACTGTGGCAAGGCCTGCTCCTACTCTAGGTGCCCACGGAGAGCTGAGCTCTTTGAAACCTGGCTCTGAGCCCTTGCTCGTACAGCTCCTGCCCTGTCAGGGCTGCAGAGCCGAGAGGGGATTACCAGCATGGAGAGCTCCTTGAAGGCAGGTGAAGTGCAGTTGAAGAGATCAGGCTCCACCCAGCCCTTTTCCTCATCACAGCGTCTGATGGCTGCACCTAAAACCAGGAGGAAGGGCTTGTCTGAAATTCAGCACGGGATACATGGCTACCCTGCTGCATCCCCCCAGCCGGGACCCTCTGCACCAGCTAACCCCAAAGAGCAGCACCGGCAAGTGATGAGGAGGGCCTATAACACCCCAGGGCCATCCTCCTGCTTTGCACCAGCGCAACCCATTCCACCCTTGGTCTGCATCACCGTGGCAAGCTGCTGCCATCCCCTCCCTCCAGGAGCTGGGTTCCTATGTGTGCATCTGCACTGCATCACACCAGGTGCCATCACACAGAATTGCAAAGAGGAATAAGTGACTTGGCAGAGCTCAGGCTGGAGAAGCCCCTGGTTCCTGGTGGGGACATGTCCATGTCCTCAGGGCACATTTGACCCCAAACTACTGATGCCCATGCAGCTCTAGGCATCCCCCAGCCAACAGCCTGCAATGCCTGCTGAGGTCCTGCCTCTCTCTACAGTGCAAAGTCATGCCAGGAGGACAACACCCGTGCTGTGGGGCTGGCAAACCCACCCCAGAGATGAGCCCCTGCAGCCGAGTGGGATGGAGGAGTGGGATGGAGAAGGACCCATCCAGCAGTGTGGGTTCAGTACCCAGTGCAAGACCCCAATCCCTGCCTGGGGCCCAAGCACTACTGCACAGCAATGGAATGGGATCAGCTGTTAACCACCACCAAAAGTGCTGCTAAAGCAGACATGGAGAGCAGTGTCCTGGGCCGGGAGCATCACCACGCAGACTTTGAGCAAAAGGAACCTGGGTGACCCCGGTGTACCTGGCAGGACTATGGACCAGGCCCTCCTGGGGAAGGCACCAGGGCACAGGAGCCCACCCAGGCACCCATGGCTGGGAGAGGGCAGCAGTGTGGCCAGGGCTGGGAGAGGGAGCCTGGAGCAGACTCCAGTTGCTGCTCAGAAAAGCCACAGTGACTAGCATGCCCCCTCCCATCATCTCCAGCTCCCAGCTGTCCTCCCCAACCACCTTTCCCCCAGCTGCAGAAGCACAGGGACCAGTGCCATTGCAGCTGGGAACAGGGAGAACAAAGAAACCTCCACACTGCTGGCCTTCCCCTGGCAGAGAACAGAGATCAACAGAGAACACAGATTGTCTCAGCTGCAGATCTGTGCAGGATCTGGCCCCCAGGTCCCTCTGCCTCCCTCTGCCAACTGGGCAGAGGGAACAGGACCTTGTGCTGAGCATGCCCATCAGTTCCTGCCCCCATCCTACTGCCTGCTGCTCAAACAGCTCCCCCTTCCTCCACCCCACGGCCATTCCTCCATGGCCTCCCTGGCCTCACTACCCATTGCTCATCACCAGCTCCTTCCCCTCCCAGCCTAAGCAAGCAGGTACCAGCCCAGGAGAGCCAGCATCCATCCCAGACGGGGAGCAGAGTGCAGACCTGCCCAGAGCCAAAGCTGCAGGCTCAGGACAGCGGGTGGCAGGGGCTGCATGCGGCTGCAGCCGGGTTTGTGCTGGTTAGTGCGCCGGGAGCAGGGAAGCGGTGTGTAGGAGTGGTGAGGCCAGGCAAAGCGTTGGGAAGACACTTGGCAGCTCCAGAAGCAGCGGGAAAAGTGCAGGGGTGTGCAGGGTGCCAGGCAGGGAGCAGGGAGGGAAAGCCGCATGGCACAGCCCTTACAACACACGGGGAAGGAGGTGGGAGCAACCTTACCTGTGCCCCTCAAGCCTGAGCACGGAGGGCAAGAGAACCGGGGAGAGAAGCGACAAGTTAGGAGCCGAACCTGCCTCCTCCCGGGGTGAATGGCTGGAGGACAGGTTTACATTGTCCCCTGGAGCTTGTGCTGCCCTACAGTCCCAGACACCCTGCTCGCACCTTCGCCATCACCGAGGACAGCCTCCTCCAGCTTGGGACATGACTCCTACCCAAGACACTCACCTAACGACATGCTGTGCCCTGCTCCCTTCGCAGCACACACTGAGGATGGGGCCAGCGGAGCTGCAGCAAGGTGCTGCGGGCGCCAAGCTGCTGTGCCAGGCCTGACCCCAGCCTCAAGCCCACTGAAACCAAAAAGCAGCAGGGAGAAGGTGGGGATGGAGGCCAAGGGAACAGCACAGCCCAGGGGCTAGGTGATGGGCCTAGACCCTACAGCCTGTTCCCAGCCCCGTGGCCAGCCCCCTCTGCTTTCCCCCAGGCTGAGGCATTTTCTCCTCCAACTTCGTTCTCCCAGCTCTCAAGCCCAGCTAAATGGGACTGGGACAGCACAAGGACAAAGTGATATTGCTGGGGCTGCTACAGCCCCCGGCAGAACAGCCACGCTGCCCCCTCCCCTCCCCATCACATCCCCCACTCACCCAAGGAGCCTTTGGGACACAGCACCGCAGCTGAGAAGCCAAACTTGGTCTGGGGCCACCACACACCTGCCTTCAGGCTTTTGGGGCAGCCGTCATAGAGCACTGTAGAGACACGCAGCCCAAGGGGCCGGTCACAGGGGGAGGCCACTGACACCAAGCCCCGTGGCACCAGCTCCCCGCTACGCCCACACTCACCCTCACAGCCACTGGGCGTCACCTCGGCAAAAGGGCTGTCGCAGCTATTGCACTGGCGCCCGATGACCCCGGGCCGGCAGTGGCACCGGCCCGTCTCCTTGTCACAGGAGCGCGAGGTGGAGCCCACGGGGTAGCAGTCGCAAGGCAGGCAGGTGTCGCTACCTTTGGGGCGGTAATGGAAGTCCTGGGGGGAGACGGGGACAGCCATCAGACAGCCCATCGGGACAGCAGCCAAGGCTGGCGCCTGGGGAACTGCTGGAGCCAAGGCAGAGAAGGACCAGGCTCTCCCAATTTGCAACCACCCCCACTGCCCCCATCATCACCGTGCTGGGGCAGGAGGGCCCCACAGAAGAACTGAGCAGGGATCCAGCCCAGAGGTGGGCACACAAAGCAGGGCCTGGGCAGCTGCCAGGCCTTTGGATGGGACAAGGAACAGCATCAAGGACGAGCAGGGATCCAGGCAAGCCATGGGCCACGTCCCCATGGGCACAGCTGCCCCTCACCTTGCAGTGGCACTGCCCGTTGGTTTTATTGCAGTCGGGGTCAAAGCCCTTGTTCACATCACAGTTACAGGGCCCACAGGTGGGGTTCCCCCACCAGCCCTTCGGACACTGCTGGTCCATCCTAGGGAGAGAAACACCTCCGCTGTTACAACCACCAAATCCCCCAGGCCTTCTCCTCCCACCAGCCCAGCTGCTCAGCAGCTCCAAGGAGCCGGGTGGCACTGAGAAGTCCCTGGTCACATAGCCGGGATGAGAGGGCAGCACAGAGCCAGGTACAGAGGCCATGGCCCTGCCCTGTGCTCCGCAACTCACCTGTGCTCGCAGTACTGCCCGAAAAAGTTCCCTCCACACTCGCACACATAGCCCAGGGGTGAGCCTGGCTTGCGGCGACACACCGACTTGTTCTTGCAGGGGTTGAGGTGACACACATCCACACAGTCCCCTCCATAGTACCCTGAGGTGTGGACAGAGAGCACTGTGTAAAGGAAGCACCTTCCCCCTGAGAGGGGCCAGAGCACCAAGGAGTGGATTCAGCGGGCTCAGGAGGGATTTTGTTCCCCACAAAAACTAATGAGTGTCTGGTGGGGATTTCTGGGCCCAGGACTTGCCCAAGGGGTAGGCAGGAGAGTAGTCACAGGCTAGGAGGGAGCCACAGAGGGAGAGGAGAAGACAGGTGTGGAGAGCAAAGGGGTGGCAGGGGGCTGCAGGCCCTACCTGGCTGGCAGACGCAGGAGTAGCTCTGCCACTCGTCCTTGCAGATACTGTTGGCCGGGCAGGGACTGGAGTCACAGGGGCTTGGCACGCTGCAGCCAGCCTCTACCCGCAGGGCATGGCTGGGCTTGGGCAGCGCGGTCCCGGTGATGCTGTCACCCAGTCGCACACCCTGCAATGCAGATGACAAATTCACGGTGAAGCCAAGACACACACGCGAGGCTCCAGTCCTCCTGCCCCCCCACAAACCCCCAGGGGCAGCCACCTGCCATCACCCCTGCTGCATTGATTTATGGCTGCCCCACGGCACCTCGGAGCCCTGAATGCTCAGAGGGAGAGTGTCACCAGCAGGATGGACACTGGCAGCAGCTGCCAGGCTTGTGTTTCCACCTCTCCATGTAACAGACCCGCTGGAAAGGGAAGGCTCATAGCAATGGACTTACCTGTATGCAGCCCCTCAGCCCGTTCTGCACCTCGCCAGATCCCAGGACTCCCCCCACATGCAGGTGTTTCACCTTCAGGCCATGCAGTTCATTTCCAACAACCACCGTGTCCTGTAGAAGGACAGGGAGTAATATGGGGTAACTGGCATCAGCCCTGCCCCAGCCCTGTCCCTCTCCTGCCCCAGCCCTCTCTGAGGGTGCAGAGGCCCAGCCCGGCCCGTGTATGCCAAGCATCCTCCACAGTTTCTGTTCTGGTGCCGGGGTCTCAAGCAGCACTTACCTGGTAGAGCCCAAAGTCCAGGGTGAGAGTGATGACGTAGCGTGAGTCTCGCCCACTGCGGACATCCCGCAGCTCCAGCTGGAGGTCGTGCCATCTCCCATCGCTGAGCCGCAGCTGGTCCAGGAGGAGGCTGGTGCTGCGGCCGGACCCCCTGCTCACCATGAAGGAGAGCAGGCCCCCAGCCAGCTGCAGAGAGGGAGCCAGCAATGGCAGCAGTGAGCGAAGGCCTCGCCAACTCTGGCTGCCTCCAGCCTACCCTCCCTCTGAGCTCTGAGCATGGGGAGGGAAACCCAGCCCTGCTAAACACCTCTCCCCATGACCACCCTCTCCTTGGGCTGGAGTCAACATGGAGGGCAGGGTTCTGCTCTCCTGGGGCGGACAGCAAGAGAGGCTGGGGCACAGTGCTGCGGCTGAGGCTGTGGCCCTACCTGGCAGAGCAGGGTGGTATACTGGCCGGCATGGGCCTGCAGAAGCACCCCATCCGGCTGGCGCGTCCGAAATGCCAGCCCCAGGTACCACGGCACTGAGATCTTCACATCTGTCTTGAAGTCCCAGGTCAGGACGCTGTTGCCCTGGAAATAGTGGGGCTGGGGCACAGTGCTGCGGCTGAGGCTGTGGCCCTACCTGGCAGAGCAGGGTGGTATACTGGCCGGCATGGGCCTGCAGAAGCACCCCATCCGGCTGGCGCGTCCGAAATGCCAGCCCCAGGTACCACGGCACTGAGATCTTCACATCTGTCTTGAAGTCCCAGGTCAGGACGCTGTTGCCCTGGAAATAGTGGGCATGGTGCATGGCTGGAAAGGAAAGTGGAGGTGAAAAGGGATGGGCACTACACAGGGAGCACTAGATGCAGGGACAACAGAGCTAGTTCATCTCACAGGGACCCCTTACCCTACTTCCACAGCAAACCCAGCACAGTCTTGCCCGCACCCACCCTGCCCACAACCAGCAGTGCCCGCTCACTCACGGTGGCGGCAGTCTTTGCCCCCGAAGCCAACAGGACAGAGGCAGGAGTAGGTCCCCCAGCTGACAGAACAGGTGCCGCCATTCTTGCAGGGGCTGGAGTCACAGAACGTGTGCTTGGCATGGCAGCCTAGAGGTATCAAAGTCACCCATATCAGACTTGACCTGCTCACTACCTCCCTCCAGCCCACATGGAGAGACACCAATGCCCCCCAGGCCTTTCCCTGGCTGCCAGAGGGGCAAGCCCAGCCACTCAGCCTCTCAGCACAGACCCTGCCTGCTCAGGGATGAGGATCAAGGCTGTTGCTCCTCCTTATGCCAGAAGAAAGACACTGCGGAGCTGGACTGACTACCTAGCATCTCCCAGACAAGCCAGCTCTGCAGGCTCTGCACTTGGGATCAGGGGATGTTCCCAGAACATTAGCTGGGATGGGGACTGGCTCATTTAGGGGGATTTGGAGGCCCCCTTCCCCGATGGAAAGCTGTTCAGCTCCAGCTGTGCCACCACACTGCTGTTACAGCCCAGCAGTGCTGCTGCATGAGAATGAGGGGCAATTCCCAGGGCAGGGGCTGGCAGGAGCAGAGGCACTGGTACCTGCAGCAGTTCCGTTGTTGGCAATGTAGGAGGCCAGGTCGATGCGTTTGCTGTCAATGTACAGGTCTCTCATGCATCCCACAAAGTCCCGGTGAGTAACAGGGAAGTTTTCCGGCAAGTTGGGGACCCCTCCGAGGAGCAATGGACCTGTGAGGTCCAGGGACCTGCAAGGACAGAAGCCCAGGGCTTCAAGAGCCACAGCGACCTCAGGCCAGACAGCTGGGTCCCCAGCGCAAGGGGCTGGGAAGCAGAAATCCCCAGGGACACACACAGCCGAGCCCCCTGGAACTACAGCTGTCCCAGATGTGAAGAGCTGACTCTGCAGGGGACCCAGGTGCCCTGCTACTCTCCCCACACAGTCCCTGAGGAACTCACTTCTTCGAGCTGGTCTGCACACCCTCTGCAGCACAGGAGTAGTTCCCAATTTCACTGCCAAACTGCAGGGCCACTGAGGCGTCACATTCATCCACTGTCAAGATGGCCACCTTGTCCTTGGAGGGGCCCTGCACCACCCCCAGGGCGCTGACCTTGGGCTGAAACCAAACGCAGGGTATTAGCAGCACACATGCCCCCAGACCCAGACACCCAAGGGCTCGCACGACAGCAAGGAAAGGGCCTAAGCATGGCCCAGGCACCGCTGCACTGCTGGAGCGTGAGCAAAGCAGGAGGGACATCTGCAGGAGGGACATCTCTGGACAAGCCCAGAAAGCAGCACCAGAGATGGATACGGGCAAGGACACTGCCACCTCCAAGTGTGGTCCTGAGGGTCAATCTCCCCCTGCACCTGGCTGTCTGCTCCACTACACCCATCCCCAAGGGCTGAAAACTACCTCTACCTTCTCTCCACAGCCTCCCTCATGGGGCAGAGCCGGAGAACAGGAAAACCAGAACCACTTGGTCATGCCTCGCAGGGAGAGAGACCCATGCATGTGGGGGTACAGCTGGGGCGCACGTACCTTGTTGTAGTAGCGGAGCTGCAGCGTGTGCCACTGCCCATCACTCACACCCCCCGGCAGGTAGGGGCTCACCACTGTGCTGGACTCTCCTGTGGGGACAGGGATCATAGAATCATAGAATGGTTTGGGTTGGAAGGGACTTTAAAGATCATCTAGTTCCACCCCCCCTGCCAGGGGCAGGGACACCTTCCACTAGACCAGGTTGCTCAAAGCCCCATCCAACCTGGCCTTGAACACTTCCAGGAATGGGGTATCCACAACTTCTCTGGGCAACCTGTTCCAGTGCCTCACCACCCTCACAGTGAAGATTTCTTCTTTATATCTAATCTAAGTCTACCCTCTTTCAGTTTAAAGCCATTACCCCTTGTCCTTTCACTACACGCCCTTGTAAAAAGTCCCTCTCCAGCCTTCTTGTAGGCCCCGTTCAGGTACTGGAAGGCTGCGATAAGGTCTTCTCGGAGCTTCTCTTCTCCAGGCTGAACAACCCCAACTCTCTCAGCCTGTCTTCATAGGAGAGGTGCTCCAGCCCTCTGATCATCTTCGTGGCCCTCCTCTGGACTCGCTCCAACAGGTCCATGTCCTTCTTATGTGGACTTTAAAGATCATCTAGTTCCAACCCCCCTGCCATGGGCAGGGACACCTTCCACTAGACCAGGTTGCTCAAAGCCCCATCCAACCTGGCCTTGAACACTTCCAGGAATGGGGTATCCACAACTTCTCTGGGCAACCTGTTCCAGTGCCTCACTACCCTCACAGTGAAGAATTTCTTCCTTATATCTAATCTAAGTCTACCCTCTTTCAGTTTAAAGCCATTACCCCTTGTCCTTTCACTACACGCCCTTGTAAAAAGTCCCTCTCCAGCTTTCTTGTAGGCCCCTTCAGGTACTGGAAGGCTGCTATAAGGTCTCCCCGCAGCCTTCTCTTCTGCAGGCTGAACAACCCCAACTCTCTCAGCCCGTCTTCATAGGAGAGGTGCTCCAGCCCTCTGATCATCTGTGTGGCCCTCTTCTGGACTCGATCCAACAGGGATGATGGCACGCTGAGGGAAGCTGGACAGCCCTTGGACGTGCCCATCCCCCTGCAGGCACCAAGCCCTCCACACTGCCAACAGCCTTATGCAGGGATGGAGAAGGGCTTCAGAGAGACAAGCTTGGCACGCCAGCCCCTGTCTGCTGCAGCCTTGTGGCAGGAGCAGGGCAGGGGAATCACAACCCTGGGACTGGCAGTCAGCACCCTGGGATGGCTCCTCTGTCCAGGCTGACTGCCAGGGTGCCCTGGCACCATGCAGCCGGCCCCTTGCCAGCCACTCGCTGCTGGGCCTTGCCCTGAGGAGACCAGCGCAGCCAGAGCAGCAGCAGGATGGCCAGCAGGCGCTGCGTGCAGGGGAGAGGGGAGGAGCACTGGACACAGGACGGGAGGGAAGCCCCAGTTGTTAACACGAGGGCCCAGTGCTCCTGGCAGCTGATCCTGACACCCCTTGGGGCAGGCAGGATGGGTGCAGAATGGGCACAAGGCAGCAGGGATGAGACCGACAGGATAGTGAACACCCTCCCAAGAGGTTCCTCTTCTCCAGACTGGCTCATGGCAAGGCAGGAGATGAAGCTCCTGATGACATAATGGGGCAGAACGGCAGGGGAGACCTCAAAAGGGTTTCTCCCAGTTTGTGCTCACAACCCCCCTGCTGCACTTGCACTCCTAAGCCTAGGGAGGGTTCTGAGACACACACCCGTCCTCTGTGCCATCCACTGACGCTCACCAACACCTCTCTCAACCCCGTCTCCCTTAGCATGGGCTCCATCCAGGGCAGCACCCCGCTCTCCCCGCTCAGCGCAGGCCTTCTCGCAGCTCCCATGGCACAAATCCCGCGACAGACAGGGCCGAGCCTACCTGTGGAGTATTTCAGCTGGACCTGCCCCTGGATGATCTCCACCGCCAGGAAGTCGTGCCTCTCGTTCAGGCGCCCATTGTAGAGCAGGAGGCCGCTGGGCTCCACAGTGCTGAACCTGGGGTAAGGGAGGAAGCGGGAGGGCAGGGTGCGCACAAGAAGCACGCGGAGATCTCTGCTCTCCCGTGGCACACACCAGCATCCCGGCACAGGGACAAGGTGAGACCTGGCCCTGGCCCCGAGTGCAAGCCCAGCTGAGAAGGGGCTGGGAGCTTGATCCAGCGGATGCTTTGGGAGCATGGGAGGGCCTGGCATGGGGGCAGAGAGCTGGCAGCAGGGAAGGGCAGAGGCACTGAAGGAAGGGACAAGCTGATGCCAGGGGAGACTTGCCAGTGCAGATGCAGAGCCCTTTGGCTAAAGGCGCAAGGGCAGCCCCATGGCAAGGCAAAGCCAGTAACGCAGGGGTCTGGAGAGCACCAGCGAGTCCCTGGACAGGCCCAGGGTGCACAAGAGCCACCAGAGTGGGGCCTGGCTGCAGTGTCTAGCGGAGGAGGGAGAGGACTCACGAGAGGGTGAGGGTGAGGTGGAAGCGCTGGCGCAGGCCCCGGAACATGACGAAGGATCGCGGTGGGAAGGAGCGTGTGGACACCTCGCAGAAGGGTGTCTCGAAGCCACCCGCCGGGCACTGGCAGCGAAAGCCCCCATCGGAGCCGTTGGTGCAGGTGCCGCCATTGCGGCACACGCCGGGCACACAGCGCCCCGAGCGGCTGTCCACTTCGCAGTTCTCTCCTGGGGGGAGCGAGAGGGAGGCTTGGGACACGTCCCGGCTCAGGGGCACGCACGCAGCAGCCACCCATCCACTCCTTGCCCCGGGGGTGCAGACCTCAGCCCAAGTTTGGGGCAAGGCAGCCAAGGGGCAGGAGTTTGTGGGGCGGCTGGGGGCAGGCGAAGCATGTAACAACCCAGGTGTCACCCAGGTGTTCCCCACAGCAGCCAGCAAGCTAGCTACCGCTGCCAGCCCTGCAGCCCGAGCCCCTGGGCTGGATGGGATGACAGCTCTGGCTGAAGGGGCAAGTTTGGACCCAGGATGGCATGGGAATGGGACAGGAGGAGACTGGCCACAGCTGGGCTGCATGGTCCTAAGGGTGGAGAGGCAAGGACAAGCCAGGGAAGTCCTGGTGATGCTGAGAGTGCCTCCTTGCACACAGCCACTGCACAAGCCTGGGACAGGCATTGCAGTCCTGGTTCTGGGGTGTGGGGACAGCCCAGCACCACTGAGCTCCCCTGCCAATAGTTATGAAAGTCTCACCCACAGCACCAGGAGCCTCCTAACCCTGCGGGCAGGCTCTGACGTAGGAGCAAAAGCCAAGCGGAAACCAGCCAGATGAGGGACACCGAATATCCTTGCACCTTGCTGGCATTGTTAACGGGGATGCCCCAAGCCAGCTCAGCAGTGCAGTGCAGGGAGTCTGGCCAGCCCCTTTTCCCGTGCTGTCCCCACAGCATGCAGGGAACCGCTCAGCTGCAGTCTTACGCCCCGGGCCCTGCTTCCATTACTTGCTCCATGGCACACAAGGAGGATGGGGAGACAGCATGAAGTGACAGGGAAATGAGCTCATTAACCCTTCTGCTAATGGCTGTTCACGCTTCAAATGCTGGGGGTTAATTACCACTGACTCTGCTTATCTCACCAGGAGCCACAGACAGCAGAGCGGCTCCAAGGTAGCCATCTGCTGCCACGCTCCCTCCCGGTGGGGAGGGCAAAGCAAGGGCTCCCTCCCCAGTAGCCACTGGCCACCTTCCCTCACCTCCAGGTTGCCTGTGTCCGGGCACAGGTCTCCACAGCCTGTCAAGGACTTGGGGCAACAAGACACTGGCCAACCCAGGGATTCCCCCTGGCTAGGACCAGATCTGCCTGGATCGTACCCTGCCCAGTGGGGCAGCTAGGCCCAGCCTCCCCTTCCATTTTCAGTGGGCAGCAGCTCACCCACCACGCGTGGGCTACACACCTCTGCCAGACCAGCTGAAGACTGGCACGGGCTGAAACCAGCACCTCCAATGGTCCCAGAGCCCATCGCCCCACTGGCATGGGGCAGGGCCGAGGAGCCTCCTGTGCCCCAGCCTGGCAGGGTCCAACCTGGTCTTCCTGCTCTGTGAAAAAGGCTGGGAAGTGGTGGCCAGGGTCCCCAAAAGCCCTCCATGCCACCCGCCTAGAAGACAGACTTCTGTGGCAACCTCAGCCCTGTGCATTCAGTGCCATGGAAACACGGAGAGCCAGGAGCAGAGCCGGACCTCTGCAGGAAAAGAGGGGCTCTGCCACCTGCCACCCTGCTGGGAAGAGCATCCCACCATGGTGACAGCAACGCCAAGGGACCTGCTCACCCATCCCCCTGCAGCCCCCAGCTCCGGGCACTCACCGCTGAAGTGCTGGCGGCAAACGCATGTGTATCCCCCCTCCTTGCGGGTGCAGATCCCACCATTCAGGCAGGGGTTGGAGTAGCAGAGGTTGATCTCCGTTTCGCAGTAGTCCCCAGTGAAGCCCTGCGGGCAGCGGCACCGCAGGCCAGTGATGGGGTGGATGGGCCGAAAGAGGGTGGAGGGGGATGCGATGAAGGGGGCCGAGCTGTCGAACTTGAGGACAGAGATGCACTTCATGTAGTTCTGGCAGGGCTCCCGCAGGCAGACGTTGTCATCAAAGGGCAGCACCTCCAGCATGGAGGCGCCTGTCAGCGCCATGCGCTTCATGTACAGCTGCTCCTGCAGCTCCTCTGAGCTGAAGTAGCGCCCGCCCCGCGGTGCCAGGGCCGAGAAGCTGACGTTGAGCACCGTGCCGCCCACGTCCGTGTCATTCTGGATGTTGAAAATGAAGACATCCTCCTTGGGCGTCGCGAGCACGGTGGCCACCCCTTCCAGGAAGGTGGACAGCAGCGGGGAGAGGAAGCGCTCTTGCCACATGTTCTCCAGCCGCACCGTGATGCTGTTAGCCAACATGTCCTCCGTGATGATGATCACCCGCAGGACGCACTGGGCTGTCACGCTGTGGATCCCATCTGTGGGAGGGAACAGGGACACGCTGCAGGTCTTTGCCTACTGCTTGGAGGGTCTCCTCCCTCCCAACCCAGGGCAGAGCTCTGCACCTCAGTGCAGCCCCCAAAAGGCCCGAGTCCTTGGCTAAGAAAGCTTGGAGCCACAGCCCTGGGGGCCAGCAGGGTGCCACCTGGGCTAGAGGGGGAGCGGTCGGTGTGGCTGCACCTTCTCCCTCCCCTCAGGCTCTCCACTGAGACAACTCTCAGGTTTCCTCCCAGTCCTGGATTTCGGCAGCAAACTGAGCTCTCAGGAACAAAGATGCTGGTGAGATTTGGGCAGAAGGAAGTCCCAGCAGGAGGCTGGGCAGGGCCTGGGGTGTTTTGCTTCGTCGCCCTGTCTGCCTCCCCCACACTCTCTTTCCCTGTGCTCTCCTCCTGCCGTTTCCTTCCTCTCTCCTCCAGGGTCCCCAAGGCTTTTGTGCCGGTCTCCCTGCTTCCCCCCTTCTCACCATCTGCTCCACATCTCTTCCTCCCTCGGCCCATCTCCGGTTTGTTTAATTCTCTTTAATCTTTATTTTCTTTGGAAACAAACTCCCTCCCCTTGGGACCCCGCACCACACGAGCGATCTCCCAGGCATGAACACAAGAGTGTGCATGCACACTCAGAGCGTGCCAGCCTGCCCTCTCCCAGGACCCTAGCTGTTAGCAGCATCTCACCCCCACGTTAGGCACACTCACGCGCCAGCAGCTCAGGCTGCAGGGGCGCAGGCAGCGCAGCACCAGCCTGCACAGGCAACGGTGCAGCTCCCACCACAGCACCCATCCTAGCAGCTATGCGATTTGGGACCCCCTGCCTCACCCCACTACCTTGGAAGGTCATACCCTGCTGCAAATTAGGAAATACTGGCCAAGATGGGAGCTGGACAGACAGACAGATGTGACCACGTTCCGAATTCCTCCAGGAAACCCTGCTGCAAGCACAGGCAGGCACACAGCATCCCTCCCATTGGGACGCAGACTGTAATTACCCCAGCTGGGGACCTGCCAGGCAGCAAGCCCCATACCTTGCTCAGATAAAACTCCTACTAGTCCCTTCCAGAGCACAAGTGCCCCAGCCCATTCCCCAGCTTCACAACTTTACACTGCCCAAATGCAAGCTGCCTGGCCCTTTGCTGGGCCTGTCGCTCTTCCCCCTCTCTGCCCAGGCAGAAGTTTGGGCAGTGGTTTTATTTTTCAGTTATTAACTCTCCTTTCCATGTGACCCCACTCAGTGGCTTTGCCAGTAGGTATCCCACAAAGCAGCCTGCCAAGGTCCCCCTTGCTCAGGCCACGCCGGGCACCTTTGCTAGCAGCTTTGGCCAGAGCACCCAGGAAGGGGAGAAGCCTGCCTGATGTTCCAGGACACCTCCTCTCTCCCCCAGCCCCCCCTGAAGGCAGAGCCAGCCTTCAGCATCACGAGGCAAGGATTGCGCCTACATCTGTGGTCCCAGAAATGCTTGACGAGGCTCACCAAGAGCCTCACTGCTCTGGTGAAATGGGACAACCCATCTTCCAGCCCATTACCAGCACGCCAATGCTAATGCCCCGTGGGTGTCAGCAGCACATGGCTGTCACCTGCTCTTCCCATCTCCCACCCCACATCTACCAGAGAGCCCCAAATCCCCACATTTCCTTGGAAACCTGGCTCTCCATCATCATCCCAAGACGTTTACATCAGAACATGTCAGTGGTGACCCCCAGGACTATCCCTGGGCACCAAGCCGTGCTGTAACATCCCCCACACATGACCGATAAGTGGCAAACACAAGCCACCCCCTTCCCCTGGGGACGGTGGGTTCAGCCCGTGCACCCCCATAGGCAAGGCCACCTGAACGATGAGCAAGGGGTTTTCTGGGATGTTCCCCTTTCCCCGTCGGCCATGCTGACCCCTGGCAGGTAAATCAGCTCCACAGAGACAGCCTTGTGCATCGTCTCCTGGGCATCTGCATCAGGTTCAACACTCTGGCCTCCAGTTTAAACACTGTCATGGGAGATAGGCTTGTGAAAAGGTAGGCAGGAGGGCTGAGCTCACTTCAGGGGAAGAGCAGTTAAAGCAAATATCCCCCAGCACCGCCGAGGGCAGCCCCCCCTCTGCCTTGCCCCAGCCCTCACCCATCCCCCAGCACATGCTGGCATGGGCAAATCAGACACCCAGTGCTGGGCTGCTCACGCTCTGCCCCTTCGCCTCGCAGCCAGAAAGCTGAAGGACAAGCCCTCAGTGGCTCTGGCTGTTCACAACCCAACAGGCAGCCATGCGGGTTATAACCAAGCACACTGGTGTGACCACCCCATCAGCAGGACCCTGCACCAAAGGTGCCACAGTTCAGTCTTGCCTGCAGTGGCCCTGGAGGGACCACGGTGCATTACCAGTGTGAACACAGGAGAGCTGCTCGTTTGCTCACACACTGTAATCTCTGTCCCTCTCTCAGCCCGGGTTTGACACCATGTTGTGTTGCGCAGAGCAGGGAGGGGACCCACAATCTTTGGGGTGATCCCATCCTCAGCCATGCGAAGGTGCAGCGCAGCCCCGTGCCGCCACATCTCCCCTGCCCGTTCTTCCAAGTGCGACATAACTGTGCGGCAACATCTGTGCACAGATGTAACCTGGGGTCAAATGAGCACCACTACCAGGGCGTGTAGGACAGACTAACAGACCAGTCTGTCACCACCAGGCAGCCCTGGCCAGACCGTGCCAAGGCCACACATGAAACGAGCCTGGCAAACTCAGCCAGACCCTGCTCAGCACCGCTCCATTTCCTGCAACCCAGTGCAATGTGGCAGGAGGAGCAGCAGGCTTCCTGGCACCCTGGTTAGCCCCAGCCCCGCCGAGGGCCAGGCGGTGTAAACACCAGCCCCCCGTCCCCTGCCCATGTCCCAGCTCCAAGCCTCACATGCAAAGCTGCCTTTACTGTTCCTCTCTCCCTGTGGCTGCCGTGCTGCAAAGCCTTTTGATTTCCCTCAGCCCCGTTTGAAGTTCACAGTGCAGGAGGATTTAAAGATTGAAATGTCTCCTTTTTTACCCCCCTCTCTCTCTTCTACTCTTCAGAAGGTGAAAGCTTTCTGGCGACCCTGCAAATTCCCACGCAAGCACCAGCCTGCGTGCTGGGGCTGGTGCTCTGGAGATAAGGCTCACATTGGGCTGGGGGAGCAGCAGCGCCAGTACAGTCACCCAGGAGCTAATCTCCTGGAGGAAAGGGGGTTGCTTCTCTCTGAAATCAAACTGCTCGCGCCCCATATGGAAGCAAGGTGAGAAACCACCCCCATGTGACACCCTGCTGGCTCTGACATGGAAGGCAGCATAAGCAGCGGCTACCAAACAGCTCCATCTAGCACCTGGCTGGACGTGCCAGGGGATTTAGAGCTGCCTGGGCTCAGCGCAAGGAACTGGCATCATCACCTGCATCTTCTGAGGCACCTTCTCTCTGCAAGAGGCTCATGGGCTGCCGAGAGCACCCAGCCCTAGGGAGGCAAGAGTGAGGGGAAAGCCACAAGTGTGGCTCAACCGTGCTTGGCATAAGATGCTCCCCAAGCCACCAGCAGCCAGGCATCCCTCCCCGAGGGACCATCTGGTGAGGCAGCACCCTGGGAAGCCACCACTTTGACACCAGCTCCCTTCTCAGCAGGAATAAGGCAGGGTGGCCCCAGCCCGTCGCCACACCATGTCCCCACTCCTTCTCCTCTCCCTTTTTCCCCTCCTTGCAGTTTGCCCCTCCGGCCAAGGCGAGTGTGAGCTCGGTTCAAGCCCAGCTGCCTCCCGCTCTCCTCTCTCCAGCTCATGGTTCACCCAGAAGCAGCCGCGAGGCCCGGCGGACAGCTCTCGCTCTCAAGAGCTTACTTGGGGCTGCTCAGCGCCCAGTAACAGGCTGGCAGACATCCGCCAGATTTATGGCTGTTATTAGGCCTTGGCTGATGCGATGCTGAGTCCTGGAGCAGGCCAGAGGCCAGCAACGCCTCCCAGGAGCAAGGAAGCCATGGCTGGGGAAGGAGGTGGGCTGCAGGGTGCCCGATGCCTTTGGCATTGCCCAGCCCACAGCAGGAAAGTCCAAGCACCCCTTTCGCGGTTCCCCACAGCAATGCGGAGCCAGCCCTGGCCCCACAGCCCTCCTTGGTAAGCTCCCCCATAACATGCTGTCCCACCTCAGCATTACACCCAGGGCTGCCTGCCCCCTCGGCTCCATGCAAGGGGAAGCAGATGGTTAAGAGAATGACCTGCTGCAAATGGGGGGGAAAAAAAAAAGCTACCAAAAGAAAGCCCAAAGCTGGCTGGAGGCACTGACCCCCCTGGGAGGCATTTTAATCACGAATGCTCAGCCTTTCTGATTAAATCCTGTGGCTGGAGAGCTGGTGCCTGGTGAATATTCATGCAGCAGAGCGAGGAGCCCTGGAAACATGATACAGGGAAAGGTGCAGGGAGAAGGGACGTGAGGGGCTCTAACCCTCGTGCTGGGCAGAACCGGGGCATCATGTTTGCACTTCCAAAACTGACAATTACCAGCTTCAAAAGCAGCAAAGCTACCAAAAGAAGAGCTCCAGCTGGAGAGCGGGATGGGCAGCAGACTCCTCCAGGGGGGCTGCACTGTCAGCCTGGGAATGGAGCTCCAGGCCTGCACTGGAAACCTCTTGGGGGGAGCAGGGCTGCCGACCACTGCCCAACAGTCTCCTGGGTCTGCCAGGGCAAGAGCCCATCTCTCCCATCCCCCTGTGCTGCCAGAGGCTCTCCAGATCCCCGGGTAGCACCCCAGCCCGCCATGGGGCATGAGGCATGGGCTCTAGCAAACACTCCCACCCCAAGAGCCTCGGAGTCACTAGCAGAGGTTCCCCTTCCCCTGCAGCAAACATTTTGGCCTTCAACCTCCCAGGGAGCTCCAGGGATCAGGAAGACGGCAGCTCAGTTCAAACAGCCTCCCTGACCCAGGAGGGGACGCACCCCTGTCCCTCACTTGGGAGGGCCAGGAGCTCAGAAATAGGCTCCGGTGCATCACCACCTGTCCTCTTCTGAGCGGCAGAGCCAGTGTCCGAGACAGCGAAAGCCACTGCTCTGACTGCAACACCCCGAGCAGCCACCCCAGAGATAGTGAGGATGGTTTGGGGACAGACAGGGGCAGCTTTCACATTTGCAGCTGAGGAGCAGTAAAACACCTCCAGATAGAGAAGCCAGGAAAGGAGGAGACAGGTATGACTAAGATGAACATTCCTCACCACTTCTGAAGGGCTTTGGCAGACCTCTCAAAATTTTGATGATACTTGACAGGTTAAGAGATCTCAGAAGTAAATCAGACTCCCCTCACCCAGCACAGAGTATGAATGTCACTATTCCAGTAGCTCTAAAGACAGGGACTAAAATACAATAACCAAGAAGACTCCAAAAGTGTTCCCTAACCAAGAACGGAAATCCTTAAGTCTCCCACCCTAACTTTGTGGTCAGAACCTCCAGCTGTGATGGACCTAGCAGGGGAGGAAGCTCCTGAGAGTAGGCTCCTCAAGACAGGAGAGGCATGCAAGTTGTGAAAGGCCAGGGCAGCCCTGGGACCCTTACCCAGCTTGAAAAGATGGCTCCAATGTGTTCAGACATAGGAGTCAGGACAAACGTGCTCTAGCAGGGTCTTCCCTGTCAGGCTGGGATTTTAGGCAAGACATCTTGGACAAATGGGTCCCCTCACCAGGGCAAGCTCCTGGCATGCAGGCCGAGGGGAGCTGTGTACCAAGAGCTCAAGCGGAACAGGGGCAACGCAGCAGCCACAGCTGAGCGCAGCTGAGCCTCCACCCTTGCCACCAGCCCAGCAGCCTGGCCCGGTGAAACCAGCCTGGAATGGTTTAAAGTCAACACAACATCAGTCTCCTACAATGCCTCGATCTCACACTGTGCTGCTGGCCACGGACACAGCCCCACCAGCCCACTGTCTTGCACCCTCAGTGGCCAAGAGCTGTTTTTAGCAGCCATAGGTGCCCACACGTCTGCAAAGAGCTGGGGTCAGTTTTGAGGCTGTCAGTCCCCCTGGAAAGGCACTGGTTTGTGATGGCCCAAATCTTCCCTGCCTCCTAGAAGGGGCTGAGCTGAGAACACACACAGCTCACAGGCCGGCAGAAGGGCCCCTTGCCCTGTGATTTAGGAGGATCCAGCCTCCCTCAAAGGGACCATAAAGCTCACAGGCAGGCAGGGAAGCTGCTCCCTCCTCAGATGCTGACCCTTGGGGCACCCACCCAGGTGCTATTGTTGCCTTCCTGCAGGAAGAAGGTGCTCCGGCACGGCGCTGCGCCCGGGCAAACAATGCAGCCGAGTCTGAATGTCCTGGCCGCCAGCTCTGCAAACCCACCCACCCACC